TATGCGTAGCTTATTTGAGAGTTTAGAAATGTGTTAGAAAGGATGTAGAATTATTGTAGAGACACTGACACTGCCCTGGATGCAATAAAGGCCTGAGTGTGTCATGAATTTATGAGTAGATTTCTAGGAGGCCCTCCCCCACTTTGAACTGTGAAAGTAAGACAAAGAGAAGTTAATGTTGAGTGGAAATTCCCCAGGGGAGACCTGGGTGGGAGTCTCAGTGTTTGTAATATGTTAACTCTGTTTTCTCTGTTGTGTAGAGGAATTTGGTGTAGCTTAGGTGAGGAGATTACTTTTATGACCGGCAGGAAGTCACGAACACAGAGACACACACACAGTGCTTTGACTGTTATGACGCACGCACACCTACATGCACACTCACTCACGTGCACTCACATAGACATACGAGTACGTGCACACACAGGCACTCACGTGCTCGTGCATACATACACAGACACAGAGTTTGCAGTACACCATGGGGGTTTTATGATGGGGTCGCTTCTATAAAGCTGACTGTAACAAACAAAGGAGTGGAAGATCTGCAGAGGGACACCGGCCTTGCACATCTCCCCTTCTAGAAGATGCATGCTTAAATGAAGATGAATAAAGGTTTTGTGAAAATGATTACTGAGTTCCGGTGCCGTCTCTGGATGCCCGAGGAATAAAAAGAACCGGGGTGAAACTGATTTCGTAACAGTATGCTAGACAAATTGTCAGCCTGTTACAGGGCTAACACAGAGAGACACATACATTCACACTCACATTCATGCCTATGAACAATTTAGAATCACCAGTTAACCTATCCCTAATAACTGCATGTCTTTGGGCTGCAGGAGGAAGCTGGAGTACCCGAAAAGAAGCCACGCTGACACGGATTGAACAAGAAAACCCCACACAGAAAGGCCCTGGAGTTCTTGCTGTGAGGCAACAGTGCTAATCACAGCACCACCAGGTACCAAAAACCTGTCAGTACCACAGAGTTAAAAACATGGTCAAAATGATTTAAAATCCAATAAAACAAGAAGTCTGTTCTCTCAGGGTTCACA